TTTTTCTATGCATAAGCTACAGTAAGACAACAGCTAATGTTAGCTTATGTTTATAGTTAGCTAGGCCTACAGTAAGAGAACAGCTATTGTTAGCTTATATTTATAGTTAGCTAAGCCTACAGAAAGACAACAGCTAATGTTAGCTTATATATATAGCTACAGTAACAAAAAGCCTACTTTGTGATACTTCAACCGTTATGGGTCTAGGACAAATTTTTGAGCCCCGTTTCAGAATCTTAAAAGCTTTGTATCCTTTTATTGTAACTGGAAGCATATAGCCTAATTACTGTTAGCTTTATGTGGTTGAATGCTTACCATTGCTGTTGTCTTACCTTAGCTTTTGATTATTAAAATGGTTATTTAAACTGACAGATTTTCACCATAGATTGAATTACGGGGGTAATGGAAAGCAGTGAATTTATAGGAAAACTTATTTTCAAATATTATAACAGTAGCCTAGGCTTATTTGAGACTCCCACCTTAAGTAGGAAATGGTCACAATGTGAAAATGTCAAATAGGCTCTGTTCCAAAAGAGGGAAGTAGGTTTGCAAATCTGCAAGAATATGCTAAAATTCAAATAGTAGTTCAGGTGGAGAAATAGATTATGTAGGAGGAGAGATAAAAGCAGCGATGCTTGTCAAAGGAGCGAGGAGAGTGTAGGGACTAGTGACAAGGAAAGCAGGGAGGGAGGACGTAAAAATGGAAAGAGATGTAGGGAAGGGAGGGTGCAGAGGGAAACGTCACTGGGACTTTCCTTGAGCTTTTCTATTTCCCCCCACCTCCCCGTTTTGTCAGAGTGGGTGGTGGGAGAGACTCTGCAAGTCACGCACAGCAGCTCACCACCTTACCTCAGCCACATAGTGCGTCTCTGGAAACAAGACCAAGAAGGCTGCTCGCTCAGGCAGTCAATTCAGGCTCGGGGAAAAGGGTTTGTTTTCTGTCTACGGCACCCATCACAATTAAAAACTTTCTAAAGAAAATGTCTTTGGACAGGATTTCCCTTGAGACTACACCTCTTTAGTTGGATGTTGCACTGGTTTGGACCTCGTGGAGTGGCTGTCTTGTTTGTGGAGGAAGAACTTCTCTGTCTTTCTCTGGATTCTACTGTTACTTGTTTTACAGTCATTTGATTTTTCCTTTTTTTTTTTGGAGATGAGATCCAGTTTTATTCCGGTCAAGCCTGTAGCTTCACAGCAATGCAGCGTGAGTTTTAACAAGCAGATGTTTGTGTTTGTGTCCTCACATGGTGTGCTGCTAGTCTTTGCATCTGTTTTTGGATATGGGTTGAAAAGGGAAGTTGCAGTCTAAGGGTCTACCCAGCATGCACTCGGATGCAGTTTACCAGTAAACATCACTTATCTGAAATGTGAAGCAGTTTTCCCCCGACAGAGTCTTTGTTGACTTCATAAATTATAGAACAAACTAGCCAGCAGGGCTTGTTCTGGTAGTAAACATTTACAAGCACATCATCCTCAAAAGTTGCTATGTTGGATAGTAAAAGATGAAATAAAAAGTGTCTTCCTCTATCACGACTAAGATGTGTTCATTGTATTTTTAATTAAGGGGCTTCGATTTTGTAATGAAGCAACATTTCTCAAAAGATGTAACTAATTGCTTTATTGGTTGTTTAATCAATACAAACTCATGCTTTATTGATCAGACATTAGCTGTAAATAAAAAGTTCTTCTGGCTTTTTTTTTATCCTTTCTATTTGGTGTTAATAAATATATAGTTCACACTATTCCACTCCACAATGAATTTTAGGCTTAATTACTCCAGTACTTGTACATTTATACTTTCAGGTCGATTGTAAACTACATAGGTCAGCTTATGTAATCATAGACTATTCAGAGCTCCAACTGATCAGTAAAGACATCTCTTAAAGCCCTCTCCTTGTGCACTGTTCAAACAGGAGACAGTTAGCGACATAGTGAAAACACAAGCAGCCAAAGAGAAGGAGATATTTTCCTTCTCCGACATTCAGGAGCATATTTTGTTCTATTCTGCTTTATGTGTAGAACAGTTTTCTTCAGATCTGCCATTTCAAGTTTAAAGGTGAAGTCAACAGTTTTCCTGAAAACTTGTAAATCATTTCCATTTCCGTGTTGTGCAAGTTAACACGTAAAAATAACTGGCTCAAAGTTCAGTTGTCATTGATTAAAATGGACCAGTTCACATTCAAAGTTTACAATTTGAACTCTCTGTACCTTGCAACTTCAGTGTTTCTTGGGACCAGGGTGATCTCCAGGGTGAACTTCGCTCACATTCAAGTTCATGGGTTGCAAATTGACTCGTTCAGTTCACCGACAACAATGTTAAACAATGCTTAATTATTTTGATATGCAACGTTTTAATGACAAGACACTACTTTCTGTAATAAACCAAAGTATAAGAGTATCTACACCTTATCTCTGACCCTAACTCTCTAGCCCTAACCCCCCAGCCTAACTTTACCCTAACCCTAATTTGACCGCCCTGATGCTAACCCTAACACCAATAGTAATGTGATGTAATGTTAAAGATGGAAGTTGATAAGGGAGCAGCTCAGGTCTCTCTCAATGGGAAGGTTGCGGGTTCAATCCCCAGCTCAGATGTTTCCTCTGGCGAGAGAATTAACCTGAAGTTGCTCCTGCTGCTTCATTGGCGGTGTGTATGAATGGGATCAGCTAATACTGATCGACACTTTATGTAGGAGTGTCTGCTGTCAGTATGTGAATGGGCTGTGAAGGGGTAGGTGTGACCTGCTGTGGTGCGCGCACACACACACACACACACACACACACACACACACACACACACACACACACACACACACACACACACACACACACACACACACACACACACACACACTGCATTCATTAATCATTGAAGACATTATTAACCACTTCATAAACAGTTAAACTAAACAGTCTTCGTGTCAAACCATCAAATTCACCAATACATCCACTGGAGGGTTTTTCTGAACCCGAGATGCTCCGACCTCCTCAGCAGTCATTTCCTGTTTCTGTCAGAAGCCTCTTTAATTAGTTAGAACCTCTGGAATCATAACAGACCTCCCCCTATACTACCTCCTCTCCTTTCCTCTCCACTTCTATGTATATCACTCTGAATACCAAACAGGCTCCAGGGACTCCTGTACTTGTGTGTTCAAGCATGCTCCCTTGTGAATGTGTGCGTGCGTGCGTGCGTGCGTGCGTGCGTGCGTGCGTGTCCATGTCTTATGTGTGAAATGTTTTGGTGCAGAGTGTGTACTCAGTGTGGATATGTGGTGCTTTTTGCATGCATGCATGGAATGAAATATTCAGGTAACATTCAAGCAGGCTCTCCTAGTTTTACAGTTATTCTCCTTTTTATAAGAGTGCTTCATGCAATTATCATTCCTTTATCACTCCTTGTCATTTTGCTGTTTTTTAGCAGCTGCTTCACTGAAATAAGATATTGAGTTGTATAAAAGGACAGATTTAAAGGTAAGATATAGAGCAGTAAGGGTGCACTGAGAGTTGTTGTTGCCCACAGGCTCGAGCGCACTTTCTGCATTATACATCAACTTCTTTCTTCTTCCTTCCTGCCCCAAGTAACTGCAGGAGATATCAAAGGCATCAGCTCTTCTTTAACCTCGACTAGATCCTTTTCCAGTTGAATGCTGGAACACAAACGGAAGACACAACTACAACCTTTCCGTATTTTTACTCCATTGTGTACGTCTATTGTCAAGAGGCACTCAGCTGCTCCGAGATGTGTAGGGCTGCACATGAAGCGCTGAAAGGGGCTTGAAAGGTGGGATGATATTGCTGAATGGAATATGAGTGGGCTTCTGTGAAAAGTAAATGAGGTTGTGTCCTTTGGTATTTAAAGGCTGCCTCTCTCTGGCCTCTTTGAGCTCTAAATGAGTTTGGTGGACAGGTCGATGTTTGGAGGAAGAAAACGGCTTCATCTTCCTCCATTTGGCCTTTTCTGTGTGACGACACCTGTCACCGCTGCGATGATGCTGAACTGTCATCCTCACCAGACTCCAGATAGAATAGATATTTGTTTTTACAGTTGTGTGTTTCCTCTCCTTTTTATTCCTGATCTGAATGTGTCACAGATGTTTGAACACTAAAATGACATTCATTTATTATGTAGCAGCTTTCAAAAATGTGTTTGACACTTCTTTGTTATCCACATAGCACAGTGTCATTGAATGGACTCGACCTCTTATTACCATGATACATGAATGCATTCATCCAGAACTGCAAAAGGTTCCCAACAAATGCACTATTTACTCCTGTCCTAGTAAGAAGTACAGTGGTCAGCTCTTTAAGAGATGACTGTGTGACCTGGTTCTAAAGATTCACACCTTCAGTTGGTGAGCTTTGAGCTGAGAGTGGAGAGGCTGCATGAATATGTTAAGACACCAGACATTCAGATGCAATAACTTTACAAAGTTGTGTGTTCCTTATCACAGCTCTGTCTTAAACAGTGTGTACTTTGCAGATCAAATCTGTTACAGTAAAGGTTCCTCTTCTAAAACACAACTTAAGTTTTTTCATAATCATCTAACCAGAAGAAGTTAATGGAAGACATGTTTCCATTCCATCCCTTATGTCGGACAGTAAAACTGAAAATTAATCTCATTTTCAATTTCACCTAGAAACAAACTCTGTTCTCCTCTGGAGTGGTATTAAACCTGCTGGTCTCTTAAGCGAGATCTTTGTCTTTTGGTTAAATTAAACTTAACTCAGGCCTCTACACTGTAACGGTCCTTTAAGATACAATGTAGTTTTGGTTTACACCGGATATCAACAGACCATTTCTCTCTGTACATGAGAAACATCACAGGGTCACTTATTTAGATAAACAAATTCAATATTATTCAAATAAAATACAGATTTCAGTTTAGCATTTCACATATCTGTCTGATGTTTGGAGGCTCCCTTCCCAATATATTAGCATGGTCTCTCATATAGTCTGAACAGCAAAGCCCTATATTTAGTTTTTTTTCTTGTTTGAATAGCACCATCCAGGGCTTGAAGACATCAGCCCCAGTGACGAGGTGACAGATACGGAGGACAATGAAGAGGAGGACCTGGGTGTCCTGGACGACCAGCGGAGCATCATCCTCCACCTGCTCTCCCAGCTCAAACTGGGCATGGACCTCACCCGGGTAAGACCCTGAAACTGATTCTTGTATTGACTCTTTTTTCTCTCTGAATAATCCTCGTCCTTTTGTCTCTTTGTATTGTCCAGGTGGTGTTGCCAACATTTATTTTGGAAAAGCGATCACTTCTGGAGATGTACGCTAACTTCATGGCCCACCCCGACATGTTCCTGTCCATCACAGCCGGGGCCACAGCCGAGGACAGGATCGTACGCTTTGTAGAGTACTACCTGACCGCCTTCCACGAGGGCCGCAAAGGAGCCGTGGCCAAGAAGCCGTACAACCCAGTGCTGGGAGAGACCTTCCACTGTTCCTGGGAGGTGCCCCGGGACAAAGTCAAACCTTTGGTCAGATCCAACCAGGGGTCCTCGTGGGAGCAGCAGGACGAGGATTCCCCGGGAGAATGCTACAGGGTCCGCTTTGTGGCCGAGCAGGTCTCCCATCATCCACCGGTGTCGGGTTTCTACTGCGAGTGTCAGGAGAGGAGGATGTGTGTCAAAGCTCACGTGTGGACCAAAAGCAAGTTCATGGGGATGTCTATAGGAGTGTCCATGGTGGGGGAAGGTGAGCTGATGAAATACTCTAGATTCATTTTGAACTTTCTCTTTCCTTCATTGACAAATGTGAAATCATCTTACAGGTAAGGATTTTTTAAGGGTGGCATAAAGAAAGACAACATTAGAAACATAGTAAGTAGTTTCAGTAAATTCTGCTCTACCAGGATGTTGGTACTGGTACGATTATGTTCTTCTCTGCTCTTTATTTTTTATTTTTTGTGATCAATTTTTTATTATTTATGTTTAAATATTGTCACTTACAATAAAGGAAAAACAAGATGTTGTGGTTTTAACAACAGCCCACAGATATACAGGAGAGGATAATCATATACAGTATATCATATACATAACTCCTTAAACAATACATTTCAAAAGAAGGGAGGAAAACAGCAAAGATTGAATCATCTCTCTCCCCTGGATTACCACAACACAGAAAGTATTCAAATAAGTCAAGAATAATGACAATGAGGGGGGCAGGGAAAATAATTCCCCCAATATATCCCACCCTAACCTCCCTCTCCGTCCCGCTCCCAGCACTCCCTCCCTACCCCAAGGACCCCACAGATAGACCAAGCATAACAATAGGTATTCTTGTTATGGTGTCATTTAGTGTACTCGGTTGCTTCATCTGCCAATTCCGCATCATACTTTTTACATCACGTCTTGCATAAGGAGACCCATGAACCCCCTACCATTCAACCGGGATAGTCTCCCACTGTGAGGTGCATGTGTGAACGACCAGATCAGGATTATTTCAGGGTCAGCCCTCCTGAAATTCTCTAGAAACTTTTCAGGTGTGCATATGTGAAAACAGTGGCAGTGTCCTTTAAAAGAGAACGAGACCTCTCCCATGATCAATAATCCAGTACGACCTGTCAGCACCTTCACACCCTGTACTGTAGGCTGTCACCCTGAGCAGGGACACAGGAAGTCCTTGAGCCATATCCACTGAGACTGGATGTATGACCTGATCCGTTCAGACATCACAGCTCCTCTGATCAGCGGTCAGCTGCTCGTGACGCAGCAGATCATCAGTTTGGATTCTTGTGCTGCCGTCAGAGAACAATGAGACCGTCATATACAGAGAATATTGATTAGTGGGCTTTTTCTTTGTTACTTTATTCCTGATAGTAGTAGATTGTGTGAGTTTATAATTGGCTCAGACGGTGAGTCAGCTCACAGAATAAGAGAGGCTTCTCAAATGAGACTTTCTGTTTTTTTTCCCCCTCTGACGGTACATTCAATATTTTGTGTCGTTGAAAAAACCTATAAGAAACTGTATGAAGCTTTGACAAACAATAATAAACATTTCCCCCCAATAGACCACAAGAGTGGGAGTAGAGAAGGAGTAAAATCATAGGGAAACCACAGATGCCACTTTGTGACAGGCATGTACTGAAGGACATAACAGGTGACCCTTCTCATCCACTGCACTCCCAGTTCAAAGTGCTTCCATCAGGTCGGTGATTCAGAGCCACAAAAAATGTTTATAAAAAAAAATTGTACCAAATGCAATAAAACTATTAAATTCATAAAGAAGAAAATGACCCCCCCTCAACTCTAACTGCACATTGTTTTATGAAATGGCTGTTTTTAAACCTATAACTTTATGAAATGTCTTTTCACTCTGGCTTATTATTATACTAAATAATTAAAGAGCCCACATTATGCCCTTTTTGGGGTTCGTATATTTAATCTATGTACCTACTTTTGTACGTTCACAATAGATAAAGTTTGAAAAAAGTGTCTGTTTTCATGAACTGCTCCTCCTTGTTCCCTCTACACTCTGAGTCCGTCAGCTACACTCTGTTGAGCCCACACTGTTAGACCCCACGTGGGCCAAGTCTGCTCTGATTGGTCTGCCAATCCGCTCTGTCGTTATTGGTCAGTTGCTCAGCACGGTTCTCGGAAATGTCCCGCCTCTTTTACCATATTGGGAATGCAGCCACTGGCTCCGTCCGAGGGGAGCATAAACATTAGCACCTTAGCACTACTGTGCTACCGCAGGCTACGGCATATCGTGGGCGTGCTACAGAAGTTAACGGGCGTGCAACATGAGCTGCTGGGCTTGCCACAACGAGCCAATGGGCTTAGATCAGTGATATCACACTGACAATGACGCCGCACGGACACATTTTTATCGAGGGGGGCTAGAACCGAGCGTTACATGCAGCTAATGCTACAGCTAACAGGAGGAGGTAGGAGAAGCTGCGTTTCCGCGGACTTTGAATTTTTGCACATAGATGTGCCTAAACATGTACAGGACACTTGGAAAACACACTAAAGGTCATATAAAACATATAAAAAGCATAATATGGGACCTTTAAAATTACCAACCATGCTGACTGTGATGTTGTCGGGGACTACAGGCGCTCTCCTGGTTTCCTGCTGTGCTTGAATGTTGTCTTGTTTGTCATAATGTTTTTTCTGTCTTGTTCTTGTGAAGCAAAAGACAATTTTCCACTTTGTGGACAAATAAAGTTCTATTGTATTCTTCTATTCTTTTCTATTATATTCTTCTATTCTATTCTAGTCTGTTTCTAGTCTCTGTTTTAGTCTGTCAGAGACTAATCTGTTCAATGTGAAAAATATCAACAGATTAGTTAATATTAAAAATCATCAGTACAACTCTGCAGCGCCCCCTGTGGTCACATGTCAGATTGGGTCTCAGTACCAGAAACTCATTCCTGGAGTTTCTTGTTTGTTATGGCAGAGAAAATGTTTTGCACGCCTAAAGCCTAGTAGTTATGATGCGCTCCTAATGTACAGAGGCTGTGGTCCTTGACAGAGTGGCTGTGGGTTCAAATCCGACCCCGTTCCTTTGATGCATGTCGTCCCCTGCTCCCTCTCCAAACATTTCCTTACATATACATAGAGACACATATACTGTAAATAAATAGATAGAAGAGAAAACAGAAGACTGAAGGAGATGACATTCAGACCCATGTTGTGCCTCGCTGGCCTGAGTAAAGTCAAGTCAACTTGGTCAAAGTAAAGTTAGGTCATGAATAAGCAGCTCATATCAGCTCTACTTAAATACTGCTTTAAAATCCCTGAGGATGTATTTCTTTTCTAAACTTCAGATAAAAGATCTCTTTCCCCACTTTGTGAGCTCGACATTTTAACATTTGTACACTAGCCCTTCTGCATAATTCATACTTTGACTTTTGATTCTTTAAGTTCATTTTCATTATAAAACTTCTGAACTTTATTTAAGTAGAATTATGGACGCTAAACTTGTAGATTATTCTCACACTCAATGATTTCCTTTTTCACTGGTTTCCACGTGGTGAGGCTTACAGACTGGCATCTTAACAGAGGAGAAAACTGGAACATGATGTCTACAGAGCAGTGTTGTGACTAAATAGGTTAATCTCTCTCTGTTTCATGACGGGACCACACAATTGATCCTGTGTAAACATGTGATTACGGTATAAGAACAGGAGGCTATTCATGGACATGTGAGGAGCAGAGGAGAATCAGAAAAATAAATCCACTTGTACACCGACTGTGTGACTCGGATGATGACTAACATGAGAGGCAATCAGGAGCTTAAAGTATAATATCCTCTCTTCTGAGACGCAGAGACACACTGCCTGAAGGAGATATCAGCTGCTTGTATCATGTGGGATAGTCACTGTGGGACTTTATTAAACAAAGTAGTATACTTTTAATGTAATAGAGAGTACACACACACACACACACGGGCCATGACATCACCAGCAAACTGCAGTGATTGTTTATTATCGTCAAATATGACATTTTGTAGAAAAGTGAGGCAGTCTGCAGGAACATCAGCCTCTTTAAACTTCTATTATCTTTAAACTTCTGTTATCTTTAAACTTCTATTAGCGCTAAACTTCTATTATCTCTAAACTTCTATTATCTGAAGTTGTCTGTCTCTGTGCATGTGAGTTCCCATCATGCATCTTACCTCTCTCTTTTCCTCCTCTCAGGGGTCCTCTGTCTCCTGGAACACGATGAGGAGTACGTCTTCACGTTACCCTGTGCCTACGCCCGCTCCATCCTCACCGTGCCCTGGGTGGAGCTAGGCGGCAAAGTCTCCATCAACTGTGCCAAGAGCGGCTACTCGGCCACTGTCACCTTCCACACCAAGCCGTTCTATGGAGGGAAGGTTCACCGGTGAGGGTTTTCAACTCTTGATTTAAACACCTTTATTCTACCTGTTGATTAGAATAATACATGTGGTGAATACTGCCTACAAATGATATATCCATTTTCAGAAAGATATGAAATTCATTCACTTCATGCAACTTCTGCATTGAAACCAGTTGGAATCCTTTTTACACATATTTATTTAAGCATCTTTTTCTTGTAAAGCACTTTTCATCAAAAATATTTTTCCATTTTGACTTTATCGAACCAAAAACAAAATCCACGGTCAGTCAAACTGTGAAACACAGATATTCCACTCACTGTTTATACTGTCTACATCTGCTTCAAAAAAGTCTTCAGAGCATGAAGGATGAACTGAAACAGCGGCTCATGTCTTGCTTTGTGCTCTAAAGCTGTTTCACTTTTTCAATATTTAAAACATTCTGGATATTATGAAGTCTAAATCTTTTCATTAGAATGTTTCCACTTCGCGCTCCAATTCATACAAATAAAGTAATTCAGTTCCAGGATACAAGAATAAGTAATGCTAACTATTCCAACAGTTCAATGTGCTTCATAAAATAATGAAAAACGTTATCAAATTTTGAGTACAAAACAAAATTGGGTGGACAAATCAAATTATTAACAACAATGTCTCTGGCACACACAGAGTGACGGCAGAGGTCAAGCACAACCCGACCAACACCATCGTGTGTAAAGCTCAGGGCGAGTGGAACGGCACGCTGGAGTTCACCTACAGCAGCGGAGAAACCAAAGTGATCGACACGACAAAACTACCCGTCACCAGAAAGAAGCTCCGGCCTGTGGACAGACAGAGCAGGATGGAATCCAGGTGGAGGAATACTGATTTCTAAACAGGTTACTTTATGTAGTGCCAGATAAAGGAACATTGCTCTTACCCTCTACTTTCATTTCAAGGCGGTTATGGCAACATGTCACCAAGTCTCTGAAGGAAGGGAACATGGACGAGGCCACGGAGCACAAACACAGACTGGAGGAGCGACAGAGAGGAGAGGAGAGGCAGAGAGCGGCTGATAACAAACCCTGGACTCCCAAATACTTCACCAAAGAGGTACAATGTGCTGCATTAGTCCTGTCTTCTCTGGTTTCTCAAATCATTACTGGGTCAACTGGATAGAAGCAGAACTATTAATTTGGATAATATCTCAAAAGAGGTCAAACTATAATCATCTGCATGACTACTTTGGTCAATTTTGGTTAACTGACATCTACTCAATGTTTTTCTTTCATTTTTCCTCGTCCCATGTGCAGGGAGACGGTTGGACCTACAACAGTCCGATGTGGACAGCACATCTCTCTCCTCTAGCGGACAATAAGTGATCTCCTGCCTCTCCACGCTGAGTCAGCAGTCAGGACATCAAACACAGGGAGCCGAGTCCTCCTGGACTACAGACTCCCAGAGTGACACACTAACAGGAAGATACAAGGTGCCAAAAGGGATCTTCACTGTTATATCCAGGACCAAGCGGTGGGAGCTCTTGGGACAAAAGTCGATTTTTATAAATAGTATTACTATTCAAAGTAGAGTATTTCTATTTTTCACCTTGCCAAGGCCTTTTTTGCACACACACACACACACACACACACGATGTTTTACACAGGTTTTTTTTTTAATGGTTTCTCGGACAGTGTCAATGTTTGGTTCTAAGCTTTTAGTTCAAAATGCAGCGTTAGAATGAATATATAAAAAAGTTCTTTGTTACACATAATACTGTAGCTGTAAATGAATTGTTTATAAAAGCACTTTTCCCATAGATTTAATAAACTAAATATTTTATATCTATGGCTTTTACCAGTCAGGGTGGTCTCTCAGAGCTTTACAGGAAATAAGGACACCTTAAATAAATCTTAACATGAAATATAAACCAACAGGTAAAACATTAGATTGTGTGTTAGTATGAAGTAAACTTCTAGAAAGTGATTGTTTTGTCTGCACTATGAATGTATTTGGGCACATTTACACAAGATAGAATACTTCTTTTCCATCTTTTACTGTTACTACTACATCGTGTTTTGCCCTTTCTTTTTGAAGGTCTCTCAAAATATTATAATCTCCAACAGGTGAGACGCAGACCTTTTACATTTCCATTACTACCTCTCGTATTCAGCTGTTCCAGCCATTAGCCACTTATTATTCCAAGAGAAAAACATGAGTTTGTTTGTGGCAGAGTCCTCACTCTTTGAATCTTTTCTTTCCTTTGTTTTTGTATCCGTGGCCCTCAGTTGGCCCTTAGCCTGTACCTTCTGAAGTTCATACTTCTTGTTTTTGAATATGGATGAGGAGAGCTCGCAGAAACACACAAACAGGCGCTCTAATATAGGGGTTAATTGAAGGTTTAAAAACTAATTTCAAGGTTTATATTTGGGCTTTCTTTGCCTTTATGGTGGGGAATAAGGAGCCCCAGGTTGGATTTGAACCCCAGGCCGCCCACTTTGAGGACTATGGTCTCTGTTCATGGGGCGCGTGCACTAACCACTAGGCTACCGATTGCTGGAATGTTTTTTTTTCTCCGAAGATGAGTGGATAATCTCCCAGAATAACAATCCCTGAGACCTGGGGTAACCAGCCAAACTGAAGGTTTTAAAGATCTAAACTTTGATCCATTTCATCGGGTTCTTGACTGAAAACTTATTTTCTCTTTTTGCCTTATGGTTTTTTTTAATTTAATGTCCCGACTGCCTGCTTTCAGTTGAAATACTCAGATTCAGTATTTAAAGCCAGATGCCTCTTTGTAGCATACGTCATTTCCATGACAACATGAAAGACAGACCTGGTTCATTACGGTTTGATGACACTCGCCTTACATGATACTTACAGATTTCTTTTTTTTAATATATATCTTAAAAAGGATTCACTGAAGTAGAAAATGATTGTGATAAAAGAGGAACAAAAATAAAGACCTTCTACTTTTTGTTTTGTTTTAAATGTGATGTCTCACATCTGTTATTTTCATCTAAGTGTTTAATGATGATTGTATATTTATCATTCACTCAGGTAGAGGAGCCAAGCCACATCTTATTTGTCATAATGCAGGTCAAAGCTCTGCCTCTTTTTCCCCGTTAAAATCCACATCATCCTGATGATGCAATCTTTTTTTAACTTCACTGAATGATAGGACTACAGAATCAAGCTTCTAATCAGGAACTCATTGATTTCCATAGATTTAGTAAAACATGTTCAAAGTTCCCAGATAATAAACTCTATTATAATTACTTCCCCCTTATTTATGTATCTAGCATCACCAATATCCATCCATCAAAAGGAAACTAATGACCATCATCCTGTTGACCTTGGTTCAAGATTAATGCAAGCACACCAGATATGCTAGATGGCGAAGGCTTAATGCCATTCTGCAAACTCGAGGCTTTGAAAGGTTGGTCCAAACAAACAGTGGGCAAAGTCACAGTAACTACGTCCACCTTCTATCCAGACTAGAGTCAAACTCTAACTTAAGCTTGAAAAAACATCTGAGACTTTATACACATTGTTTCATCGCAAGGTGATTTAAAGGGATACTTCACTCATTTGCATGAATCTTTGTATCATTAGAAACCTGGTAGTATTTTTGAATGGTCGTGCATCCTGCCCTCATTTTCCTCTGAGATGTGAAATCTTTGAATTTCTAAGTCTGAAAAGGAGCTTCCAGTGACGCAAAATTCCAGTGACGATTTTTGCGTCACTGGAAGCTGTTGCGGTGTGAAACTACAACGCTAGTTCCTCATATTTTCGATCACTGATGCTACAGACCAATCACAGATCAGTGGGTGGGAACTCACTCCCAGAATCAAAACTCAACATCCGCCGTATTGCGTGGAAGCTATGCTAACAGGCTCTATGGAGAAAGCTGATAATGGCGAAAAAATATAAATATAGCTGTGAGATGGCTGCTGCCGACAGGCCGCCGGGACACAAGACCAGCCTGTCGCCAGCGACCGTCTCGCCGCTATATTGCTATATTGCTGCCGCTGGCCGCTGTCAGCTCAACAGCCGAGACATAATGCCTTCCTGTCAGCGGCGGTGAGGATGAGGAGCTGGGGCGGACTGGTCGTGTCGGTGCTCATAGACAATGTTTGTCTATGGACACAGACACAGAGTCTGTTTTCTGTCTGAATCAGTTGAGGAAATGGGCTTATGTGTTGAAGTAAATATGTCTGTAAATGTTTTTATTTCTATATTTCTACTGCTATACTGTATATTTTGGAGAAACTGTATCGATCGAATTTCCCTCTGGGATTAATAAAGTATTTCTGATTCTGAAATAGAGGACCTTAGTGGGAGTGGCCTGCGGTGCTGTGCATTCTGGGATTTGGTGTCTTTCACCCACAAGCCAAAAAGACACTTTCTGCCTTTTCAAGGCCAAGAAGGCACCAACTTCAAAATGTATTTCACATTTCTACTACATATATGACCCCAATGTCAATACAGATTCATGTTTCAACAGCTGAAGTATCCCTTTAATAACCCAAAGTAAGAGCAAGAACAGTAAGAAACTTCAGGAGCAAAATGTACAACTATGATTTGAAGATATTAGGTATACAATTTCAGTAACAAATGGCATTTAAATGTATAAAATAGTTGCTCATTAAGGGTATGCAGACACTGACATGTTTTTTTTTTTTCATTCATCCATCAGACTTAATTTTTAGATGAAATCATTTATAATCCTTAAGTGTTTCTAACATGGTGAAAGGCTGGATCATTCACCTTCAGAGGACTTCATGAAGATACAAAGTCGTCATTAAATTATAATCTGTTAAGAGGAACATGCAGCTTCCAATCAAAGGGTTGTATGTGTGTGGAGAAACTCTTAAAAATGTTAGTATTTTACCTCACCCTTGGACCACCTGGTTAGCAACCATCCCCAGACTTCAAGTCGTTCTTTCCACTTACTGTAATGCAGCAGAAGCAAACGTCTTGGACTGAAGGCTAATGCTGCCATCAAGTGGTTGGCTTTCTGTTCACCTCGCTGAAAAAAATGAAGATACTAAATGCATGTTTCAGGCTTGTTCTGTTTAAAATGACATAAAGCTTCAGGAAGGGGACACATGAATAAAAAGACCGTACACAAGTTTAGTCATTAAGGTGTATATTTAAAGATGGCTGAACAGAACAACAATGTAAAAATGTAAACTTTTGAAGATGAGGGAGGGATTTCATCAGACAGCACTGAGTAAACTAAAACATGAGCAAATTTAGTAGAGGAAGCGTTTAGCTGCTCCTAATGAAGCCCAAAATGAAAGAAAAAACTGTACATCACATTAAGGCTGAGTCTGAACTCTCTCCTCTCATGGGAAATCAAAGGACGTGACACAGTTTAGGCGAGTTACAATAACAATGTGGCATTTTGTCGAAGGTGTGACGCCTCCGAGTAATGACACTGTGTTTCAGGGAAGCTCAAAGTTAAGAGAACAAAGAAACTCAGAGAGAAGAAAAAGAAAAGAAATGAACAGGTAATAGGAATTATAAAAGTAACTTTCTGTGAGATGTGACAAAACAAGTTCTGCTGTTTGATGTGTTAGTCTTTTGATGTGTCAGTTATTTGATACAAAAAAACTGCTGAAGCGTGCACGTGTGCGCGCACACCTCTAGTGTTTGGACATGGCATCTGTAAATCCAGACACACAGAACAGTGCAGTGCCTGAAACATTACAAGTTAAAGATGCATGTTCTAGTGAAGCTGTGTCCTGATGGTAAACCCTTTAGAGGGACAATACTTATGTTGTGTGTTTTTTATTTTAGTCATTTTAGGTTGAAAAAAAACGAGAAACGTTTCTTTGTTTCAATTAAAGAATGAAGTTTGGGTAAATATGTCGGCTGGTGAGAAAAAGAGTCCACTAGTAAGGTGATGTTTTATGGAAGCTGGAGATCATCAGTGCATTCAAAGATCGATTTAGTCTAGCCAGTTCACTACAGCAGAAACTGTAAACTCATTAAAGGGTCATTTCACCATTTGTAATAATGACGCCAATGAAATATTAATATCAGTATGAGTTGTTTTTTTCTAACATTAAACTTATTTTACAAAGTCAGGGCGAGTTATTAGAAAGAGATGTTTCATAGACTTTAAAGGTCTAATGGAAGTATCTAGTTTGACTTATTTCATGGATTCAAATCATCTCAGCCTGATTCCTTTAGATGTTTAAATTGACTGAATAAGCACTAATAATTATTTTGTTATTTTAACTCTTAAATGTTGCCCGTTAGTTTTTGATTGGTTGGTTTAAAGATTTGGCTATTTTTGTTTCATGTCAGTGTAAATTGTAGTTTTTGGAAGGTGGAGGTCAAGGCGTATAAAACCTGACAGTTCAAGAAGCCATGTTGGTCTCTGGGAAACAATCTGACCCTTTATCCCATTTAGTGACATTATAAAGAATACACATCGTTACACACTCCTAATGCTGAGCAGCTTTTGATTCTTTGTGAATAAACTACATTTGGGATGATGTCATGTTTTTTAGAACTAGAGTTGAGTGGTGTTGTTCCATCTTTACCTGCAGGAGGATTTTTTTCTGCTTTTTCTTTTTGGTGTTTAAACTTTTGGTTGGTCAAAACAAGATACGTAACAGCATCACATTTATCTATTTCCCCCTAACATCTTGAGGACAACACTCGTCTTTGAAAACACCAAGTTGCAGCCCTCATGCTTGCCGGCATGTTTGAGAATGATCCACATACACATAGTACCTCTTCTTCACTTGTATGCAGTATTGGGTTAGGACACGAGGACACTTCGTCCATCTTTGTCACAGACTTTGATGGAAGTGTTCTTTCCTGACCTTTGTGATCTTTCCTTGTTTCAGTGCTTGTGTACCAACTACCCTTCTTCACAGTTCAGCAGTATATTTCCAGACATCTTGAAAAACAAAAGTCTACTTTCCAAAGCCTCAGCCTGGCAGAAGCACTAAAATGATGAGCTAAACTAAACTACAAAAAAAAAGTAGACGGTCACAAATAAATGAGGCGATGATGACCAGCAATGAGGCACTAGGCTTTGCACACAGAACCTAGACAGCTCCCCCTGAAGGGCGGGAGGCCTAATTTATTATCACTACTTTTTACACACAGTTGCCTGCTTCCGTCTTTAAAACCCTAGCAGCAGCAGAAATCTACAATCTATGCAATTTAAGATGAAAAAGAGGGCCGGGGCGAAGGGGAACATTGTAAAAATTCACATTCATTCTTCCAACCAAATCTCAGGCCTCTCTTTACAAGAATTATTGCATTCACTGTTCTATTTGCTGTCATAAAAAAAAAATCACAAAGAAATTAAGAGAAAAACAAAAAACTGCATATTTTAAAAATCACCACAATAATCCAATATATTATCATCCTTTTAGACATTTTTTGTACACAACATATTTACACATTAGGCCAATTTTTTTTTTTTTTTTTGAGGACTTTGTTGGAAAAGTAGGACGGGGGAGCCAGGCAGACGTAAAGGAGATGACGATGATAATAAAAGGGTTAATATTACAGATGAACTGTGCCTAAATGTTCCTCCATACCGCATACTCTCCTCTGTACACGTGTCAGGAACAAGTCCTTAGCTTTCACTCCTGCGCTTCCTCTCTCAGTGATGAGTTCACATGTGCCATGGAGCAAGGTTGATGGGTCTTTGGTGCAAATGTTCCAAGTCTTCTCTCTTTTCCTCAACTTCACATCCTCTCAACCAGATACTCGCACTGATAAGCAGTTAATCAACGTATCACAAAAAGTAACCGACACAGAACCAAGTAGAGCAGCCCGATGCCTCGACACACATTTAAGTAAAAAAAAAAAAAAAAAAAAAACAGAAGAAAAAAAAAATGCAGAAAAAAATGAGCAAGACAAAGATCCTCAGGATAAAACAGACAACAGATCTGGAACTAGCCAGATATGACACTTCAACCTCCTCACCACAAGGTAGCGCTCTAATGGGAAGCGCT